GAAGATACTCAGGTTAGGAAGTCTCTCCATTGCAATTCTTTATTAGTTCCTTGCTTTCTTTTTCGAATTGCAGTGGGTTAATGAATGTTTTAGATTAATGAATGAACTCTCTTAGATTTCTTTAATACCCTTGAATTTTCATGTTTGGTCTTCGAATTTTCAATAATTAGATTACACATTAAACTTTTAATGTTTGGTTTAGAAAGAAGTCTAATATAATGTGTATAGTTATGTATCTTGGTATATAGCTGTTCAATTTCTAGAGAATACTCTTTTTTTTTGGAATGTATGATGAATTATGTGAATACTTATGTCTTTTTTTTTATTTTTAATAATGATATACAAGTTCATTTTTTATACCCATTTTATAGACCCAGTGATGTGTTAAGAAGATGATTGGTTGATAATTAGATAATATTTAATTATCAACCAGTCCTCTTCTTAACATATCACTGGACCTATAAAATAAGTCTAACTTCTGGGCCTGAATAACTATTCTTTTTTTTTTTGTTATGTTATGTTATGTTAAATTTTTACAAAGATTTTGTTACAGTTTAATTTTGTAATATGATAGGTCTTTTTTTTTTTTCCATCTCTCTTAGGCTGTATTTGAATTTAGGATTTGAAGGGAATTTGTTGATTGAAAGGAAAAGGAAACATTAAAAAGTTAACCATTTTTATTTGATAACCTTTATTTTTTTTTTCTTTTAGTGAATTGTTTTTAATTTGGTTTTTTATTGAACTGCTATTTTAAAATGTATAGGCTTCTCTCTCTTTAAAAAGAGTCCAGTTTATTTAGCTTTTTCAATTTTATTTTTGGAATTTTTCAAACAAAAAAAAAAGACTTTGACTTTTTAGATGTTTATCAGGACTTTTGAAAAAACTTAAACTTATTTTAAAAATTTGTTTTAATAATTTTTTAATGATTTTTATGAGAGTATTACTCCTTGGAGTAAATAAGCTACTGTGTAATATACTTTTTTGAAAAAGGCATTTGCAATTATACAGATAATACAAAAGGTATTTGTAATTTTCCAGTTACAGTGTGGTGAGCCCTCTTATAAATTTTTATTGTAGTTTTTTACTTATTTTGTTTTCACATTTTAAAATGCAAATTTAGTAATTAAATTTCTGTAATTAAGTTTTGCTAAAATTTTATTCATTAGTATAATTTATATTTTTTTATAATTTACTTAGTTGTTAGTAGCAAAAATGGGCAATACAATCCATAAGAATTAACCTTTGTCAGTGCAAAGTTACTATATAGAATCAACCACAAAATCATGTATTGCAATAGTTCTACATTTTGGCCAATAGAGAAAAATTATGAAGATTTCTATGAGAGTATTTAATTTTTCTTCTATCCTTTTTAATGTATATTGAAGACATAAAAAAATTATAATTTTTCTTCTATCCTGTAGTAGTTCAATTTCTCCATTCCTAAAGTAAGTTGTTAACTAGAATATATTAGGAGGTTGTTAATTATGTGTCGATTAATTTTTCTTTCTGGCAATTATTAAACCTTAGTCTACCTTCTTGGCACTTTCAGGTTGAGACACCATTGACCTTCAACCGCTAATTATGGACAACATTACTATTTTTGGTCAAGTAAGTTGTTTTCTTTTTTATTTATTTGAAAAAAAAAAACATTTTTCTTATAAGCAAAAGTCAATTTTCTTTTCTCTTTTCATAATTTTTTATCTAATTCCTTATAACAAAATGCTTTTTTCTTATAATTTACAGATGGATGGAGACCTACGTCGAACTGTAATATTGGCTCCTTTTACTCATTTTCTTACATGTATAATTTTTTTTTTCTTTACCTCTAATTCTTTTGTATTTTTAGGTCCAATTTCTTCAAGAAAGAAATGTTAATGTTGTTATCCGTGATGAGCATGACCTTAATGTCATCTGTGTTTGAGAGGTAGGCCCAATTTAATTATATAGATTTTTTTTATTCAAAACACCGTATACACCGTATATTCTTATTTATATATATTTTAAAAACTTTCTACATATATATATTTTCTTTATTCTTTAAAAATTTTCTTTATTTTTTGTAGGCAAAAGAAAAGGAAATTGCCAAGGCATTGTTGAAGAAAAACGAAAAGACCATCGTTTCGGGCAAAGAAAAGGAAAATGCATGTTCAGTAGTATGGCTCTTCAACATTTCCATTTAAAGTTCTTTTTTTGAAATATTTATTTTGGACCATGAACCTTGATTATTATTATTATTATTTTTAAATGTAAAATTGACATGCTACTTGCACAGTGGCATATACTGTTCTTATAGTAAACAGTTTCATATAAATTTGTGAAATGTTTTTTTTGAAGCATGCTAAAATAGCATTTGTACAAAAACATTATATTTGTTTTAAATTATTATTATTCTTTTTTGGCTTTTTGCTATTGACATTAACATCTACAAGAGAAGAAAAAAGGAATAAAACGAAAAAGGAATGAGGGGAGGAGGGATACAGAATGAAAGAGTTTTCAATTTTTTTACAAAATATCAGAAGGAAAGGGAATTAAGATAAAGTAAATTAATAGAAATGAAAAATGAAGAGAAAAGTATAAAACAGTAGATGATAATATTCATATTTTAGGCATCTTATGAAATTAATCTTCATGTTTTAGGCACATAACAATAATGTTATATCGAAAACTGCATTGGCTCAACGTGCACGGCGAGAACGCGAAAGAAATGATAAGGCAAGCTCTTCATATTAATTGGGACAACGTTCGCGACGTGAACGAGAGAGATCGAGAGAATTGATTCCACCAAGCACAACTAATACTCCACTGGCTCAAAAATGAGTAATGTTTACACATCTTACTTCGCCAAGCACATCTTTAGCTTCACAAAGGAATTGGTAAAACATTTTATTTAATTCTATAAATACATATTCTGAACCGTTAAGATTTTATTTTATAAATTTTATTTTGTACACAACAAATATTTGTAGGCCTACTCATGCAAGCCCATTCCTCCATGAGACTAGGAATATCGATGTTGTTATTCGTAATGAGTGCAATCTTAATATTATCCGCAATTCTAAGGTAAGTATAAATATCAAGTTCAACATATTATTTTTTCGTAATCTTAATAAATTCTATAAATACATGTTCTTTTTCGTATTCTGAATAAATTTTATTTATTTTTGGTAGGCAAAGGAAAAGGAAAAGGCCAAGGCAATGTCTAAAGGAAAAGAAAAGGTAACTTCTTTTGACAAAGGAAAGGAAAACGCATGTCCAATGGTATATATTCAACATCTTTAAAAAAATATTTATCGAGTAAAAAAAAGCCAATCATATTTTTAAGTGAACATTGATCACGTATATTTTTAAAAATGTAAACTGTATTGTCAATTTTTTTTGTGTGCTCTTTGTTTTCTGTACACTCAAACAAAGTATTTTTAGCTCTCTTTTACATTTCCTAAAAAATAATTGTAACATTTATCAACTCCAAGAAAAACTTTATAACATATAAGCAAAGAAATAGAGGAACATAGGCATAGAAAATATTTTTAATTTTCTTAAAATCATCATGAGGCAAGAAGAAAGAGAAAACAATAATTAAAAAACAAATTATTATATCACAAGGCATGAAGAGGGAATATGAAGCAAAATGGAAAAGGAAGTAGGACAAAGAAAATGTAAAAATATTCTTAAAATTATCACACGGCAGGAAGAAAAAAAAATAAAATAGTATACGATAATATTTGTATTTTAGGTATCAATGATATAATATTCACATTTTAGGCACACAATGACAATGTTATATCAAAAGCTACATTGGCCCAACATGCACGGTGAGAATGGAAAAAATCAAGAGAATGTATTCAACCGAGACAAACTTCTTTAATACCGTGTCGTCGTAGTTGTGCTTGCTTGGAACTAGAAACAAAGGCAACTGAGGATACTCAGTCGGCGCAAAAACGAACAATGGTTGCACATCCTTCCACATGTTCGTTCTCAATGCCAAGCACATCTTTAGCTCTACAAAGGAATTGGTAAAAGACTGTATTTAATTCTTCAAATACATACTCATACTATTACTATTCTATTTTAATTTACACAGAACCAATATTTGTAGGCCTACCCTTACAACTCCTTCCCTTCAAGAGGATCTATGTACTAATGAGGAATTAGAAGGTATGTGTATGAGTCCAATGGTTGGTACTCGAGCACATATAAATTCATGTCGTCATTCTCTTGGCAAGATGGATGTATTATGTCCTTTTTGTTCAGCATTACATTGGATGGATGAAAAATTAGTAAAATCATCTCCAAATCGTCCTCTATTCGGAACATGTTGTTCAAAAGGGAAGGTTAAGCTTCCGCTGCTTATTACACCCGCTTCACTTCTTCAAGCATTATATGATGAGAATGATGATAAATCAAAATCGTTTCAACATTATACTCGAGTGTACAATGCAACCAATGCTTTTACAAGTCTTGGTGCTACATTAGATCCAAGAGTACTTACTGGAAGAGGCCCTACATCATTCACTATCCATGGGGAATTGCGACATCGAACAGGATCACTACTACCACAATCAGGGCAAAATGCAGCTTATGCGCAATTGTACATTTATGACCCTGATTCAGCTTTAGAAGTTCGCAATCATAGGAATCCTCAATTAAGAATAGATGTTCTAAAAACTATTCAAGATAGTTTATTATAGGTTAATGCATTCGTTGCTAAATTTTGCCAGGCTCATGCAATTTTGAATCAATTAGCCTCGACAAGACGAAATTTGCCTGCTCATCTCCACTACAGTTCATCGACAGATCGACGACGGTATAACCTACCAATTATAGATAAGATTGCAATTGTAATACCAGGTGATGGAACTAAGGTTAGTGAAATGAGAGATGTTATCTTACATCTACATGGAAATAATGAGCTAATACAAATCAATGAATGTCACCCAGCATATTTGCCATTACATTATGTTTTATTATTTCCACATGGTGAGCTTAGATGAGAACCTGAGATGAAACTGTGGGATGTTAAACGTGATCGGTCTTCAACTGATCGGCTTACTCAAATGGATTTTTATAGTTATCGTTTGTTTGAACGACCCACAGAGTATTTAACAATTTTGAAAGCTGGAAAATTGTTCCAAGAGTTTTTGGTTGATGCTTGGGCCGCAACTGAACAAAATAAGTTGACTTGCTACAAGCTTAATAAAGGGAAGATCCGTGCTGAACTTTACCAAGATTTGACAGATATTGATCCAAATGACCTTCAACCCAATCAAATTGGTCAAAGGTTTGTTTTGCCATCTTCATTTCCTGGAGGTCCTAGACACATGTTTGAAATCTTTCAAGACTCAATGGCTATCACACGATACAACCAACATCCAAACATTTTTCTCACCATGACTGCAAATCCTAATTGGCCAGAAATTACTTCGGCATTATTACTGCACCAAAAGCCTATTGATTGTCCTGATTTAATTGCCCGTGTTTTTAAGTTAAAGAGAAAGTGCTTGATGAAGGAGATAGAAACAAACCGAGTGTTTGGTAATAAAGTTGCGCATGTTTTTACAATTGAATTCCAAAAGCGAAGCCTTCCTCATATGCATGCACTTCTATTTCTTAAGGGTCTAGACAAAATTCGGACATGTGCTCAAGTAGACAAATTGGTTTGTGTAGAATTTCCAGATCCAAAAGATGAACCTATGCTTTTGAAACTATCAAGTGTTGTATGGTACATGGACCATGTGGTGCTCGAAATCCACAAGCACCATGTATAAAAAATGGTAAATGCACTAAGAGATACCCTCGAGCGTTCGCAGAAACAACTACTATGGATCAAGATGGATATCCTATCTATCGTCATCGCAATAATGGTCAAGCTCATATTGTGAGGAGGAAAGAAGTTGATAACAGAGACATCGTACCATACAATGCATATCTTTCTAAACGTTTCAACTGTCACATAAATGTGGAAGTTTGTGCCGGAATGAGATGCGACAAGTATATACACAAGTACATTTATAAGGGTTATGATCGTACAACGATGGTGTTGGGATTGATAAATAAGATCCAACAATATCTCAATGCGACGTATATTGGACCTCCAGAAGCTGCTTGGCAAATATTTGGTTATCCATTACATGCAGAGATACCAATAGTTGTACGCTTAGCACTTCATTTACTTGGAATGCACCGCGTTCTTTTTAATCATGATGAATCATTAGAAGCAATTATTTCTAGAGCTAGCCAACAAATGTCAACTCTTACTGGTTTTTTTGCATGTTGCGCTTCTATGGAAGATGAATGTCCATTCACTTACCAATAATTTCCACAACATTTTGTTTGGCTTAATTCAGAAAAGAGATGAAAACCAAGGCAGCAGGGCTATGCAATTGGTAGAATGTACTTTGCTAGCCCTAATTGTGGTGAGATATTTTATTTGCGTTTGTTATTAATTGTTGTCAAAGGACCAAAATCGTTTCAATGTTTACGCACGGTCAACAATGTTTTGCATGATACGTTTAAATCAGCATGTGTTGTAAGAGGACTTTTAGAAGATGATGAAGAATGGATACAATGCCTTAAAGAGGCTGCAATTATGAAAAATGGTTATCAATTAAGGAGATTGTTCACTATTATTCTTACTCAGTGCTCTCCACTACAACCATGTGCGTTATGGAATCAATTTTTAATGCATATATGTGATGATCTTGAACATAAGATTCGAACATTGTTTGCCATTTCTGAACTAACTGAGGCTCAAATTGAAGACTATGGTCTATATCTTTTGAATCAAATGCTCCAAGAATCAGGAAAAAGTTTAATTGACTTCCCGCCAATGCCACAACCTTTTACAAATTGGAGTGCAGTAGTTGGTAACAGGTTGATATTCGAACATCAACAACTGTATAATGAGGCACAACAGGCAGATGCAGAAATTATTATTGATCACCTCAACAATGATCAACGAACAGCTTATGATGCAATCACTTCCTCAGTCTTTGAAAATAAAGGAACTATTTTCTTTTTGAATGGAGGTGCCGGAATAGGGAAAACGTTTTTGTACAATGCGATTACATTAAAGTGTCGCAGCCTTGGCCATATTGTTATTACTGTGGCTTCATCTGAAATTGCATCATTGTTATTGATAGGAGGTCGTACTGCACATTCAACATTTTCCATTTCGTTGGATGTATTAGAAAATTCAATTTGTGGATTTAGCAAGCAATCATTACAAGCAGAATTGTTTAGAGAAACAAAACTTATAATATGGGATGAAGTTCCTATGCAGCATAGACATTGTGTTGAAGCAGTTGATCGCACACTTCGGGACACTTGTGATAGTAAAAAGCCATTTGGGGGTATCACTGTTGTTCTTGGTGGAGATTTTCGACAAATCTTACCAGTTATAACCAAAGGAGTCCGTGAGAAAATTGTAAATGGATCATTAAGACACTTTTTTCTATGGAAGGATATACATGTTCTGTCTTTAAATTTGAACATGCGCTTGAATCATGCAAATCTTGAAAATGCTAATTTTGCAAAATTCTTGATGGAGGTAATATTTCTTCAAACTTTTTCTCTATTATATGGTTCTTTTAAATTGACAAAATACATTTACGTTTATGTACCTTAATTGGTTTTACTTACTATTTTATTTATTTATTTTTATAAATAGATTGGGACTAATCCTTAGGAAATTGTTAAACTTCCATCAACAATGCACAAATGCCATATACATGTTCTGTCTTTAAATTTGAACATGCGCTTGAATCATGCAAATCTTGAAAATGCTAATTTTGCAAAATTCTTGATGGAGGTAATATTTCTTCAAACTTTTTCTCTATTATATGGTTCTTTTAAATTGACAAAATCCATTTACGTTTATGTACCTTAATTGGTTTTACTTACTATTTTATTTATTTATTTTTATAAATAGATTGGGACTAATCCTCAGGAAATTGTTAAACTTTCATCAACAATGCACAAATGCCAAGATCTAAAAGACATACTCTCAGTAGTTTATCCGCAACTGGATGTGGCAATGACATCGACTGCAACATTTTTAACTGAACGTACAATTCTTTCTGCACGGAATGATGATGTCAATGCTATCAATACTGCAGCATTGAATATTTTTCCTGGCAACACACATACTTATTTGGCAGCAGACAAGATGTCTAAAGATGATGAAATTGATCGTACTATAATAAATAGATATCCTAATGAATATTTAAATTCATTAGATCCTCTTGGGCTACCGGCTTTTAAGGTAGAGTTGAAAGTAGGTTGTCCTATAATGTTGTTAAGAAATAATGCACCAAAAGATGGACTGTGCAATGGCACAAGATTGATGGTTTCTAGATGCAATACTCGCATAATTAAAACTCAAATTTTAACTAGAGAAAAATGTGGCAATTTGGTATTTATACCAAGGATATCCTTGACATCGTCTTCTTCAGAAATGCCTTTTCGAATGACAAGACGTTAATTTCCAGTTCGATTGGCATATGCCCTGACCATTAATAAATCTCAAGGGCAATCTATGAAATTTGTTGGAGTTGATTTGCGCACACCAGTTTTTAGTCATGGATAATTGTATGTGGCCCTATCTAGATGTACATCCTTTGATCGTATAAGTGTCCTCCTTCCCAATGATGAGCCAGATTCTACTACAAACATTGTTTATCCTGAAATTTTGTTATATTGTTACTTATGGATCAAACCACTTTTGTCAAAAGGTACAATTTATTTATTGATAAATTTGTTTCTATTGATTACAAATTGTTATTTTTAAAATATTTTACTATATGTGTCGACTTTTGTAAGATTGGGTTAAAAAATATATGGAGCTCAAAAATATAAATACAACTAGATTGCTTCGATGGGGATGTAACAAGGTAATTTCAATTTGAAAGTGTTTTGATATATATATATATATATATAAATTTTCTTTTGCTAATATACTAACTTTTTTTATTTTCATATATTAATAGATTGTCGTGCATACTCCTCACTGGGGGATACATACAAGTTGATACGAGGACTTTTTGGAAAGTGATGAGGCGCTCCTATGATTTCTAAGAAAGAACAAGTTTGAATCTCATATTTATTTTTGTGAAAAGGGAACATATGCTAGCTACGATTCATATTTTGTAAAGTTTCCGATCAATGTGAAATTTATTACTTACAATAGTTTTGTAAAGCCTTTTATCTATGTGAAATTTATAACTAAGTTTAGATGTATGCTAGATAATATTCATTTGAATTATTGATTTATGCTATGAGTTTGTTTTTGTAAATGTAACACACTAGGTGATATATATTTTTTTGTTTTTTTGTTTTTTCTTCCTAATATGCTCTTGAATTAGGTTAAACAAAACTAATTATATTTTTATTTGGTTATCTTTTTATCAGGAAGGGTGTTGCATTTTCTTTGTATTACAGAACATTGGCTAGTGTGCTTAATTTGTTATTTGACATTTTTTTTGTATTGCAGAGCACTGGCTGGTGTGCTTAATTTGTTATTTGGCATTTTTTTTGTATTGCAGAGTATTAGCTAGTGTACTTAATTTGTTGTTTATTTTTTTCTATTGCATAGCATTGGCTGGCGTATTTCGTCTGATTTTTATATAGATGTTTCTGTGTTGTGGGATCTACATTTTGTTGTTTGTTTAAAATCATATGCTTTTGTTGTGCTTGAATTTTACGTAGCATTTATGTGTTTACTTTTCACTATTTCGTTTACCTATAAATTTGGAAAATTTATGTTCAAATTGATTTATTCACCAAGTAACATACAATTTATTTATTTTTCATTTATTTAATTTTCTGTACAATAAACTGACCACCAAACCATAAAAATTGTTAGATTTTAACCATTTCATAAAATTGATGCAAAACTATAGCTTTAAGATCTCTCTTCTTTACTTCAACCAAAACTCACTATCTAAAAAAATGTGGATATAGAAATTTATTTGGGTACTGTTTTGGCTAGGATAATAAAATGCTTATTTTCTATTACAAATTGCAAGTGTGTTACATGAACAAAAATACTACAATAGTAAATATTTGGTGATATGATCTTTGTTTGCATTTGTGTCGTCATACTATAATACTCTAAACTCTTTTCAAAAATCTAATTATAAAATTCATTTGAAAATTCAAAACCATACGGATCATCTATTTATATTTTCACCTCAAATTTTTTTTCCCAACAAATTAAATAAATTACATTTTAACCCAATAATTTTATATTCAATTACATTTTCATATATTAATGGTCATCGTGCCTTCAGGCACAAGCATACCCTAATATATATATCTTTTAGGGGTATTCATATAAAAAGTTGTGCTATAAATATGAAAATTGAAAACAAAGTTAGATGTTGATAACTCATGAATGAATAAAATTTTATAAGATTGTTTAGTAGAGTTTACTTATAAAATTTTGTTCATTCATATATATTTTATATCCAATTCTACAATGTATTTATGCGTACTCTTTTATGTACAAGATCACACTAGTGAAATTGGGCCAATTTTCATCATTATGAATGTCCAAAACTTGCACAAATGAGGTAGGCCGCGTGCAATGCGATCTGTCCACAGGTGGACCCAATTGTCCGAATTCTTTGTAAGGGTTTGGTCTCACATTGTACAATATTGTTTGTTTCGTTTTTAAATTTATTGGAGGTAGAACGCATTGTACAAATTATAATTTAATCTAACAATTATGGTAATTATTCAAAAGTAAGAATTTATAGCCTTTATAGAT